TTGTACAGTCCTGGAGGGTTGAACACACACACACACACACACACACACACACACACACACATACGCACACAGACACACACACGGTTCAGAAGAACACATTCCAAGCGAGCAACAGAATAACGACCTGAAACATCTCGTATGGCGACGACGATGACATAACGACCTGAAACATCTCGTATGGCGACGACGATGACATAACGACCTGAAACATCTCATATGGCGACGACGATGACACAGCGACAACATTGACACAGCCTGTTCGAGATCGTGATAGCAACTTCGGACCTAATGGAGGAACAATAGCAATAACAGCTACTAAAACAACGCGAACAACTGGTACAGCAGCATCACCATGAATAGCTCAGGTGGCAGTCCAGTCAAGTGCAGTGGCACCATCAATAAATGGCACAACGAGGAACACATGACCTAGTCAGAACAAAAGCCGGAACAATGAGACGGAAACAACCTGAAACCGGCACTAAACACTACCTAGTGAAATAGCTGCACAAACTTGTCATAATTATAACCGATATTGACTAGGACGAGGCTAGCTCCCTAGGTTGGACGTGGCTAATTAAAATCGAACAAAGGAAAGAACTGATACAGGTAACACACTTATCCACATAGAATTGCAGGTTACCCCTGTAACCGTTATGGATACCCTAATTATAAATTTTTTGGTAGCTGAACGGGTTGTCTGAAATCCAGTTGCGTAAAGCAAGGTCGGGTAGTACCCAGTGGTGCGGAAGATTTTCCGCACCCCTTCCCTCCCTTCCTCCTATGCATCGAAATTATTTAAAAAAGGAACAAAAATAAACTTACAATTACACCAAAACCAGCACAAGACGATTACCAAGTCATTACTCTTCACCTTAAAACAGAACACTTCGCAGCCACATGTACACAGAATTTAAGACAGGCGATCAGTCGTGTGTACATGTGTATTGGCACCTGAGACAACAGGTGTACATAGTTCTATCCAGAGCTCTCTATCAAGATATATCCAAATACAACGTTTCAAGACAAAACTTTCTGGCAAAGAGAAACACAGTTAAAATGTTACGGGTCGCTGAGGGGATTTTAAAAAAAAGACAATAACGTTCATAATAGAGAAAACACCGTACATATAATCTAATTCATGCAAAGGAAAGAAGTAAAGGAGAAGAACAATTTACATTTGTTGTCTGCTTTATTTACTCAACATTGTGAGCATAAGGTTTAACCTTTTTAACCTAAGTGTGTTCTCTGAAATTTTTTGAAATCGCATCAGCAAAATCAATTCACGTCGCTTTTTTTTGTTTTCAGCTGACAAAAGGGTTAAGATAGAGAGCCGAGTTGGACTCATAGCGGACCAAAAAGATAACCCATAATTAATTTTAGTTTTGAAAAACTCCTTTCGCCCTATGCTACTGAATCATGTAACGTTAACACGAATCTTGAGACTTAAGACATCTGTGGTACACAATCTGAATGTTTATTTTTAAAAATAAACTCAAGAAATCCATTCTAGAGAATTTGGGGTTAAAATTATGGCAGCTTTTAAACATTTTCTTATTCGTGGAATCTCTCTAAGGATACAATATTCAGAATGTTCATCATAGTTTAGGACTAATGTTTGTATTAACTGTGCAAGTTTCGTTTGTTACCCCACTGGTAAGACCATCTCAGGACTGTAAGGTAAAACTTTAGGTAGCAGCCCTGAGGGGACAGACTGATCAATCTATCTAACTATTCCACACACACACATACACAACCCAGAGGGAACAGACTGATCAATCTATCTAACTATTCCACACACACACACTCATGCACAGCCCAGAGGGAACAGACTGATCAATCTATCTAACTATTCCACACACACACACTCATGCACAGCCCAGAGGGAACAGACTGATCAATCTATCTAACTATTCCACACACACTCATGCACAGCCCAGAGGGAACATACTGATCAATCTATCCAACTATTCCACACACACTCATGCACAGCCCAGAGGGAACAGACTGATCAATCTATCTAACTATTCCACACACACACATGCACAGCCCAGAGGAAACATACTGATCAATCTATCTAACTATTCCACACACACTCATGCACAGCCCAGAGGGAACATACTGATCAATCTATCTAACTATTCCACACACACTCATGCACAGCCCAGAGGAAACATACTGATCAATCTAACTATTCCACACACACTCATGCACAGCCCAGAGGGAATATACTGATCAATCTATCTAACTATTCCACACACACACACACACACATACACAGCCCAGAGGGAACATACTGATCAATCTATCTAACTATTCCACACACACACATACACAGCCCAAAGGGAACAGACTGATCAATCTATCTAACTATTCCACACACACTCATGCACAGCCCAGAGGGAACATACTGATCAATCTATCTAACTATTCCACACACACACATACACAGCCCAAAGGGAACAGACTGATCAATCTATCTAACTATTCCACACACACTCATGCACAGCCCAGAGGGAACATACTGATCAATCTATCTAACTATTCCACACACACACACACAT